TAAGCCAGGACTGCAGAAGTCAACAATATACATTGTCTCCCTGACTCATCCTAATTCAATTAGAGGGAGACTGTGGGGGGAATTTGGTTCCTAAGAGGAGACTATAAGAGAAAAATGAGGCTTATCCATCCTCCCCTATATTAGTAAGTCTATTTATGTGCACATTATGTAACAAATTGGGCTTCTAGAAGAATATCATGTGAGTTTATTTAAAAACAAAAGACAAAAAACATTGTAAGAATGAAGAAGGGAGGACTGAAGAAATACGTAATGAAAAGTTCCCAAAAGAATGTTATTTCAGGTAACACAAAGTTCTGTTTTAGGGAATGTAATATTTTGAATAAGAATGTAATGAAAGAGAATTTTTAATACATTGTAATATGTTTATTAATTCCTAAAATTTCTCATACCTTTTTAAAAAACTATTTCCTGAATTATTTTTGGGCAAATGCTATTGAGCTTGAACTGTGTTCTTATCTCAACATTTTCTTGTCTCTATTTTTAAGTTCAAGCAGAGATGCTTCCAAAAAATATGTAAGCTTTTCTTACGTCGTTAGACATTTATCATTTTATAAATGTAATTTGAATAGCTAATAGTCGATATTTCAATCTAATAGTTCTTACCTTACAGATTAGAGAAATACATGTCATAAAGACCCAAGAAATAAAAACATTTTCACATTATATTTCACTGGAAATTACAAGACTTTAAAGTAATCAAATTATTGTACATTTATTCTGTTTACTATCTTAAAACATTTTTTTATGTTTTCTACATGATTGCTTGAGCCCTACATGTGATGCGGAAAAAATCTATTATGAAAGCTACACCTACAAATAATCTGAAATTTTAAAGAAGTAATTACAAAACTTGAGAATTCAATATTTTCTTTATTTAAATAGTAATCATGATAAAATAGTGGCACTGGAAAATGTCAGTTTACATTGTGATAACTATTAGAGCTACAAGCCTGACATTTATAATCCTTGTCAGTCATAAAAATATAGCAAATTGGGATAAATTTAGTTCAGTCTTTCAAAAAGAATGAAGGTTGTCACCTGCTTTCCTTTGTGATTTGATTATCTTGGACTAGGTTTTTCTAAAAATGAAAAGGTAAAAAGATTTTTAAAAAGGTATTCAAAATGAAAGAGCTAATAATAAATAGTGAAGCAACAGAATTATTCAAGGAGCTTACTATACTTTGCCAGTTTGCATAGCCTTAAAAGGTGTTAATTTTCTTTTTGCGGTGTTAAAATTCTGCATTGTCATTTTCTAAACAGTGATAATATAAATAACCCTGAGTATTTTTAGCACAATTTTCCCCAGAAGTACAGTACAATAGTCTAGTCTTTTTTGTGAAATGGGGACAATAATGCCTGCTGTGACATAAGAGCCCCTGTGATTGATTGATTAGTGTCTGTTAGACACAATAAGACACCTGGATTAAAGGAGTCTTAGAAGTACAGGCCACAAAAGTATTTTTTATATTATTTTTAACTATGATTGGAATATAGAACTAGTATATTAGAGTTAAAAATATTAGTCTTGAAGTCCTTGTGGAGGTCATTTGATCATTCTGAATATTACAGTCGGTCTTTTCTCTAAATGTAACTTACAGAAACAGCCTTTACAATCTCCGTGTGAAATGTAATTTTAAAATGCTGAGTGGTAACTAGAAAATTCTAGATGAGAATCCAATTAACAAACTGAATTGCTTAATAATTTAGGTTATTAAATGCCATTACATAGAAATCATTGTTTAAATATATAAATAGAACAATATTAAACTTGTGGAACACAAAATAATTTTATTAACTCCACATCTGTTTGTGTTTAAATCTGCAAAAGCATTTTAGTCTTCAGTTAGCTGGCCGAAGGTGACTTAGCTTCACAAGTATCCCATGACCTATATAACAAGCAGAAAACACTAAAGCAATTTTACTATAGCTCAAATGCCATAATTCCCATTAGTATCCTGATTCCTGATGCTACAATCAGGTACAACACAGGTGAGAACATCATAATTCCTTGCAGTAGAAAATATGCTTTGACAAAGATGAATAAGGGTTAATTAAAGAGATCTAATTAGAAGTCTAATATATATACTGGAAGATCGATATTGGAAATCTAACATTTTATTAAATTCGCTAAGGAAAAACAATGATAAAACACAGTATAAAAACAAATAGGTGTTCCCTTACAAAAACTGAAATTAAGAATATTTCCCTAATTCATAATTACACAGATCTAACTTAAAAATTAATATTGGAGAGGTGGATTACGAACAGCTCTCATTAGGAAAATGATTTATACAGTGTTTTGGGAAGAAACCTTAAGTTGTGATAACACAGGGTTAGGAATATGACCCTTTATATTTACTTTTCCTCTAGGAATATTAATAAGATCTCTAATAATAGTTCTAATTTTAGAGTTTAGAAGTCGGATTATTTATTATAGGACAAACTAGCCTCAACTATTCTAGATTTAAGAGGTAAAACTGAGACCATTAAGGAATCTCAATCATTTAGATAATGCCAAATAAACACCTAAAGGATATAATGCCCCGAGTCCATAGCTCTATTTGTCTCTTAAACTCCATCTCCTTTGAAAAGAATCTAGACATATTTCATTCTGGGGCTTTGACCTGTGGTTTTCTTTAATTGAAGTCTCATAGTCATAAATGGAATCATGTGATGATTTTTTTTTTCTCTTCTCTAACCTTCATCTTGTGTTCATACTGATTTCATTTATGAGCACGAGGTAATAATGGGTTCTGCCAGCACGTGAAGCTATCCCTTAGCAAAGAGAAACAATTCCGTTTAATAATGATGTTAAATAATTATTGTTAAGCTATGTGTTGCGACTACAACATGACTTTGAAATGACTACGGTATGATTAGAATACGAATATAACTGTAGTGCTTATGAAATGAACTGGAAAGTGGCTGTGCTGCTATGTTTATTGTAAATGTATCAGAATGATGGTTCATTTATTTAAAAACAGTGCAGTGCATAAAATAGGTGACAATTGGAACAATGTACCAGCTTTAATTGTAGATTTTGTGAATGGCAAAATGATCGTTTACTGTGGTAAAATAAAAGAATCATCCTTTAATTCACTGACATTATTCTGTGAGGCAATATTTTTATTTTGACTTTTGGATACTTAGAAGTCCCTTCTGTTCTTAAATTATATACATTCTAATCATACAAAACATTACTATAATAAAAGTTGCTTTGCTATTTAAAAAAACAGTGTACTATCTGCAAGGAAAGAATTTTATATTTTACATATAAGGGATTAACGGATTTTACAGCGGGCTCTTAGACACTGCAGTTGAACTGTGACTATTAACTCAAAGAAAAGTTTGAATTAAAAAGAGCTTACAATTTCATGTTGGAAAACTGTGATATCAAATGAGTTGGTTAAATAATGCCATTATTTATTAAATATATGGCTTAGTAGGCTTGATTCGTGATTTTTTAAAATTTTAATTTAAATATCTAAAAACAAATGTTATTTTAAAAAGAAAAAAAAAATCTACTGTACTCAAAAACAAGAGGTAATCTCCAACACGCCCTCATAGTGCTTAAGTATGCCTAGGCAGCCCATTACAGAATGGGGAACACACAGGTTTAAAATAAATGCCCTTTATTCTTCCTGTGAGTTAGCCCAAGTTATTCAATCATGTACTAAGACCTTCTCAGACAACCTTTATGGGTCAGTCAAAAAATAAATTTTTGTTCCAAGTGAACTGTTTCTATGTTAATGCTTCAAACTTTACTCAGGTATCAGGCGTTGTTAAGTACAAGCCATTACACAAACCTTTGTGGTTTACTGACTTAAAAAATCAATCCAATATATTACTACATAGTGCTTTGGGGGTCAGTATTTGAGAAATAAAGCTATATTTTTCGGGAGTCATTCCATCCAGTTCCTGTATGAAAATAAGAAACTTGTGAGGATTTAGTACAGAGCTGGAGTCAAGAGAAATGAAATGCACGGGAAAAGCAAGAATCACAGGAAAGAAAGTTGGAATCAGCAGAAAGTGCCTAGGGGAAAGGAAGTGTTCCACAGCTTGGGAAACAGCTGTCTGGGACTCCTTCCAGCACCTTGGAAGCAAAGTTTGCAGTGAGGTGGGCTGGAAACGGGTTTTGCAGCAGCCGCGAGTCCCGGCGAGCTTAGGTTCTCAGGTTTCCAGGCGCGGCTGGAGCAGAAGTGCAGGGACCGCCACGATACACCGCCGCGGCCGGTCTCGCTCCGCTAGAGCAGACTTCGCAAGCGCAGCCGACTGGCCCGGGCTGACCAAGGGGACCCCAGACGCTGCCATTGTCTCTTTCCAAGGCAGTTTCCGTGGCTGTGCGTGTAGGAAGTGCTCCGATTAATTTTCTTTCCTGTCTCCGCAGAGACCCCAAATTCTGCGGTCCCCACCTTTCGCTGTACTCCCTCTTTGCCCTTCTTTCCAATGTCCCTGCCAGCAAAAGCTTCTATTTGCAGCACCGCGCATGTTGTTCATTTAACGCGCTCCGGGGATCTGTTGGCTCGTGCTCCCTACCCAGGGGTGGCTGTACGTCTCGCGCCTCGGATCCTGGGTAGACTCCCCCATCTATGCATTTTGGCCCCTCCACTTAGCAAAGAGATGTGCGAAGCCGCCTCGGTGACACCGATCCGCCCGCAGCGGTGGCCCCGGTTCCCCGGATCCGCGCCCGCGCCCTGCAGGGCTCCCGCGCTGCCCTTGCCCGCCGGACCGCCCGGGCTCGGAGGTTCTCTCCCTGCCTGAGCCTGCGAGCGCCGCTTCCGCGCGGGCCTGGGGAGCGCCGGCGCGTCCCACCCAACGCCGGACCCTGCTGAGCATGCTCAGTGCACCTCCTGGAACCCGGCTCTCCTGGGGTCAGGATCAGATTTCCGGGTTTTCGCGGCTGCCGAGGGGGCGAGGAGGAGGGGAGGCTGGGAGACAGTCAGCGCCTTGTTCCGAGCCCCCTCCCTCGCGCCCGGCTGCGGCCGCCCGCACCGCAAGATGCAGGCCAATCAGAGCCCGGGGGCGGGGCCTGGGCAATCACGCCCTCCCTCTGGGCTTATTGAGAGTTATATCCAGAAATTCAGTTCAGAGAGAGGAGAGAGAGGAGAGGGAGAAGGAGAGAGGGGCAGAGGAGACGGGAGAGAAGGAGAGTATGCGAGACGGAAAGGAGCGCCTTAGAGTCTCTGAAGCACGCAAGAAATAACAGATTAGGAATTTTTCGGGCAAGTGTCACCTGGATTAAGGTCAGAGAATCACCATCACCGCAACTCTGACGTTTCCTACAAGAAGTTAGAGACTTAAGCAGTACTGGCATCGGTTGGAAATGGTATGCTTGATGCTGTGGAAAATATCCCTGAGCTGAAGAAGTGCAACTGAATGTTGTGTGTGTGCTAAATACCCAGAAGAACCCAGACCCAGTGGGTAAGAGAGACGAAATGTGGAGAGAATGACTAACGACAAATCCGTGAATTTGTTCTCTGGAGTTGCTAATTTGCCAGTCCGAAGCAACACATTTTACAGGGAGGAAACGTTTTGCTGCTTCTGATTTCTCCCCAAACTGGTGCTACCAGATGCATGGCTTTCTATGTGTTGGAACAAATCATTCCTAACTGCAGCATACTGGGAAAGGAGAAAGGTTGAGGCAACTAACGTAAGTGTAGAGTTTCGCATGCATAATTGTAAATTCGTGTTTAGATGTGTCCTCAGTGTAGACGAAAGATGTTTGTAATTGGGTAGACGGTTGGGGCAGAGCTCACCTACTCGGCTGTATCTGCATCCCTACCTGCATCACTCTGCCGGAACTAATCGCGGGCATCAGCTACTGTGCAGCCTAATGCAGATAAGATTAGAGCCGGAGAACTGACCAGTCCTACTCAAGTACGTAGCTGCCTGGAGCCTTGCACCCGTTTAAATTGCAGTTACAGGAGCATCTAAGCAGAAGCCTTTTTACCTGCATGATTGGGTTGCAGTATTGATGTGTGGCAAATGTTACTAATATTCTAACCAGAAATCAGGATTAAGAAATAGCTTTGTTTTTTTTCTCTTTTATGTTCAGTAGAAAATATTGTGATGTTACATGGGAATGTTAGCTGCGTTTCACTTATATCTCGGCACTCTCTTCCACCTCTAGGAAAAAGAATCCTATATTATTATACATTTTTAAAAGTTTTAATGTGTTTACGAATCCTAATGGGGATAATTTGTCAATATGGAGAAAGGAGAGCAAGCTGTGGGCAAGAAATCTGAAGTCTTGGTGTTGTGCTTTTAGGCAATGAGGATGTGTAGTGGCCAGTGACTACTGCTTCTGATGCTGCAGCAGCATGTCCGGATGCTCGTTTCCCAGTATATTAGAAGGCAGTTGAAGAACTGGGAGGAAAGAAAAAGATAGCCTTTTTAGAAAAAATAGGTGACTCAGTGTGGCAGAGAAGAAAACACATTTGACATGTGACAAAGCTATTAGTAGGAACCATAGCTAAATACTTAGGGTTTTTCACTTGCACCTAAAAAGACTGAGGGAGGTGGGTTAGAGGCTCTAGGAGGAGGGTGAGATGGGGGGAGGGGGAGAGGAGAACAAGAATGCTTGTTTTGAATTAAACAGTATTCTGAAAAACAATGTGCGTGAATATAGGTAAAAATAGCAGCTGTCGTTAATTCAAAAGTAGAAAATTTTATTTCCTCCCGGCAAATGCAACAAGCAGGAGATATTTAGTGCTTTTTTCTCCACAGAGTAAACTTGCAAACAGTGGCAGAGCAAACTGCCATGTTTACTAATGTGCAGGGGAAAATGTGTGGTGATATTTTGTGACAGTATGTTTTTATTTACTGAAGAATAATATTGTCTATACGATTGTGTTGACAGTGGCTGTCTCCAAATAAGTGATGAGATATAATGCATCCTCCAGTCCATGCACGCTTCCTCTTGCAATTTGTGCATCATTCCTCAGTGGAAACCTTTAAACCCTAAAATCCAGGAAAAGAAAATAAATACATTATCATGGACCTGAGGGATTTTTACCTGTTGGCTGCTCTGATTGCCTGTTTAAGGCTGGATTCCGCAATAGCTCAAGAACTTATTTACACTATTAGAGAGGAATTGCCTGAAAATGTGCCCATAGGAAACATACCAAAGGATCTGAACATTTCTCACATCAATGCTGCCACAGGGACCAGTGCCAGCCTTGTCTACAGACTGGTTTCTAAAGCTGGGGATGCCCCTTTGGTGAAAGTATCCAGCAGCACTGGAGAAATTTTCACAACCTCCAACAGAATAGACAGAGAAAAACTCTGTGCTGGCGCCTCATATGCTGAGGAGAATGAGTGTTTCTTTGAACTTGAGGTGGTGATCCTCCCCAATGACTTCTTCAGGCTGATCAAAATAAAAATAATTGTCAAGGATACCAATGATAATGCCCCCATGTTTCCATCTCCTGTCATCAATATTTCCATTCCAGAAAACACTTTGATCAACAGCCGCTTTCCAATTCCATCAGCAACAGATCCTGACACAGGCTTCAATGGTGTACAGCATTATGAATTGTTAAATGGGCAGAGTGTTTTTGGACTGGATATCGTGGAAACTCCGGAGGGAGAGAAGTGGCCACAATTGATTGTTCAGCAAAACTTGGATAGAGAACAGAAAGATACCTATGTGATGAAAATCAAAGTAGAAGATGGAGGCACTCCACAGAAATCCAGTACGGCCATACTGCAGGTCACAGTAAGTGATGTAAATGACAACCGGCCAGTGTTTAAAGAGGGTCAAGTGGAGGTTCATATTCCAGAGAATGCTCCTGTAGGTACCTCTGTAATTCAGCTCCATGCCACTGATGCAGATATAGGCAGTAATGCTGAAATCCGGTACATTTTTGGTGCCCAGGTCGCCCCTGCAACCAAAAGACTCTTTGCTTTAAATAATACTACTGGGCTGATTACAGTTCAGAGGTCCTTAGATAGAGAGGAGACAGCCATTCACAAAGTGACAGTGCTGGCTAGTGATGGCAGCTCCACTCCTGCTCGAGCAACGGTTACCATCAATGTCACCGATGTAAATGATAACCCTCCTAATATAGACCTCAGGTACATTATAAGTCCCATCAATGGCACCGTGTATTTATCTGAGAAAGATCCTGTCAATACAAAGATTGCCCTAATTACAGTTTCAGATAAGGACACAGATGTGAATGGCAAAGTGATCTGTTTTATTGAAAGAGAGGTCCCATTTCATTTGAAGGCAGTATATGACAACCAATATTTGTTAGAGACCTCTTCTTTGTTGGACTATGAGGGCACCAAAGAATTCAGCTTTAAAATTGTTGCCTCTGATTCTGGGAAGCCCAGTTTAAATCAGACTGCCCTGGTAAGGGTTAAGCTTGAGGATGAAAATGACAACCCACCAATTTTCAACCAGCCTGTAATTGAGCTGTCAGTTTCTGAAAACAACCGACGTGGGTTATACTTAACAACTATTAGTGCCACAGATGAAGACAGTGGGAAAAATGCAGACATTGTTTATCAGCTTGGACCGAATGCCTCCTTCTTTGATTTGGACCGAAAAACAGGAGTTTTGACAGCCTCCAGAGTCTTTGACAGAGAAGAACAAGAACGATTCATTTTTACAGTAACTGCGAGGGACAATGGGACCCCTCCCCTCCAAAGCCAAGCGGCTGTGATAGTTACTGTTCTGGATGAGAATGACAATAGCCCCAAGTTTACTCATAATCATTTTCAATTTTTTGTGTCTGAGAATCTGCCAAAGTATAGTACTGTGGGGGTAATCACAGTGACAGATGCAGATGCTGGAGAGAATAAAGCTGTGACTCTTTCCATTCTAAATGACAATGATAATTTTGTGTTGGATCCCTATTCTGGAGTCATAAAGTCAAATGTCTCATTTGATAGAGAACAGCAGAGTTCCTACACTTTTGATGTCAAAGCTACTGATGGAGGACAGCCACCTCGTTCCTCTACTGCAAAAGTAACTATCAACGTCATGGATGTCAATGACAACAGCCCAGTTGTCATTTCTCCACCGTCTAATACTTCCTTTAAGTTGGTACCCCTCTCAGCCATTCCTGGCTCCGTGGTAGCAGAAGTTTTTGCAGTGGATGTTGACACTGGAATGAATGCCGAACTAAAGTATACTATAGTGAGTGGAAACAACAAAGGCTTATTTCGGATTGATCCAGTAACAGGTAACATTACTCTGGAAGAAAAACCAGCACCTACTGATGTGGGATTGCATCGTTTGGTGGTCAACATAAGTGACCTGGGGTACCCTAAGTCTTTGCACACGCTTGTGCTTGTATTCCTTTATGTTAACGATACTGCTGGAAATGCCTCCTATATCTATGACTTGATCCGCAGGACTATGGAGACCCCGTTGGACAGGAACATAGGGGATAGTAGCCAACCCTATCAAAATGAGGACTATCTAACCATCATGATTGCCATCATCGCCGGTGCCATGGTGGTCATTGTTGTGATCTTCGTCACCGTTCTGGTGCGCTGTCGCCATGCATCAAGGTTCAAAGCAGCTCAGAGGAGCAAGCAAGGTGCTGAATGGATGTCCCCAAACCAGGAGAACAAACAAAACAAGAAAAAGAAAAGAAAGAAAAGGAAGTCTCCCAAGAGCTCTCTTTTGAACTTTGTTACTATCGAAGAGTCCAAACCCGATGATGCAGTTCATGAACCTATCAATGGGACAATAAGCCTGCCGGCTGAACTGGAGGAGCAAAGTATAGGAAGATTTGACTGGGGCCCGGCACCTCCAACAACGTTCAAGCCTAACAGTCCTGACCTGGCCAAGCACTACAAATCTGCTTCTCCACAGCCTGCTTTTCATCTCAAACCAGACACTCCAGTTTCCGTGAAAAAGCATCATGTGATTCAGGAACTCCCTTTGGACAACACCTTTGTCGGGGGTTGTGACACCCTTTCTAAACGCTCTTCCACTAGTTCAGATCACTTCAGTGCCTCAGAGTGCAGTTCCCAAGGAGGCTTCAAGACAAAGGGCCCCTTACACACGAGACAGGTAAACGAGCACTTTTACTGGTCTATAAGTACTGCATACAAGTGCCCAGTCAACCAGTATTAACGTGCCAGTGTGTCTGTTGTTTTGGTCTAACTTTAGCTTAGTTAGAAGGAGGTTAAAAAAAAAACTTGACCCCTTTTCTATTCCTCTGGGGCTCAGTCAAGAATTTTTAGAACAGCTTTGAGATTTCTGAGTTCTGAGAATATTTTAACCTCCCAGTTTCCTTCAAATGGCAAAAGATGAAAAGAGAAAATTATTCCAAAATGTCCCAAGATAATGTTTGCTGAAGAAGAAAACCTGTCCTGATATGCCACATTCTGCTCCTGGGGTTTTCAAATTGACTGCTTCAAGATTTTCACCTTACCCTTTGATCTAAAAAGTCACCTTCAAATCTCAAGTTTTAAATGACTTTTGAAGGTGTGACTGCAATTATGTTGGAGCTGTGGTTACTAAAGGGGTTAATTTTTTTTTTTAGTCTCTAAACAGGATAGTAGAATATTAAATGTACATCAGCCATGAAGCACATGATCATTGATAGATTGCAACTAAGCCATATAGGAAGTCTTCTCTTTGATTTCAAATTATTTTATTGTAATATATTAGATTCGGTACTTAATAGAAAGATTTTTAGTGTCCACAGTGGCCAAATGCTCTTTCAAAAAAAAAAAAAAAAAAAGAATGCTTGCTGCCTAATATAACTGATTTAAAAAGAAAAGAATGAATCCATTGTAAATATTCTCTCATCTTAGTAATGCATAAGTTATCTGTCATAACTCATTTTAAACTGTGAAATATGCCATATGAAGAGGGATTAAGAGGCTGAGAAACTCATATTTCAACCAAATCCAGAATTAGTTTTTCTTAGGTCTAATAATTCCTTGTTAATAAAGATTTAAATGCAGCGCTGTCTAATTTATTTCACTGGGGCTTGTCTGCTGCCACAAAATTTGAATATCGATAATAGCCTGTAGATGGCACTAGGGTATCATGTCTCTTGTGCTGGCCAGGTGCCAATCCTGCAGTAGCAAGGAGAAGGGGGAGGGAAGGATCAAGCTGGTAGTACAGCCAAAGATACCTTTTATTTAATGATAGTTGCTCTGGAGCAACTAGCATTTAAGTTCATTTGCTTGCTCTTTTGTGATGAGCTCTCAGCACACCAACTTTCTAGGATTTCATAATGCTAGTTCTGTCTTTGTTGGTATGGAGTTCACCTATGTTGAGTACTTGTTTATAAATAAGGAACATATAGATTTTAGAAAATCAAGTAAGGCAAAATTAATTTGCAGAACAGTATTGACAGTTATCATTGATTAGTCTTTAGAGAATCAAGAGTTTTCATTTTCTGAGGGTGGGGTGAAATAGGGTGTTTTATTGAAACAGTTTCCCCCTTACCAACTATCATTTATTGCTCTGGAATGACTTAAGGCTTCATGGTAATAAAATATTTATAAGAGTAATTTTGACAATGAGTCACACAGATACTCCCAGAACATCAAGTATAATACATATTACCATACAACTAAAATTTCCATTCTTAAGGCAATATATTAAACATTAGAGCGTTTTAAAAGTACAAATATTTAGAGCTTAAATACACAGGAAGAAAGGACTTAAATCAGTATAGAATTTTAAAGGAAACTATGAGATGATTACATATAAGTCAAAGCTGGAATGACTAATTTTTGTGTTAACTTTGTAAGCATTTGAAAAGAGGTTGATGTTTTAAAATTTAGAAAATGTTCAGGCTTAGTAAAGGTTTTTAAAAGTTAAATAGTTAACTATGATAAGAAAAGTAATTTATGAAACTAAATGAGTTTAATTTGAAAGTTGCTCTTTTAATGAACAGAAAGAAAATTTTTCAAATTATTTACTTCTATTGTAAAGGTCACTCACAATACACTTATGGTATTTTATGATATGCATAATTATGTTGAGAAACTAATATGATGACTTAAAATTTTTCATGTAAAGTCTGACATTTATTTTCCAAAGAAGTGTACTGATATACTTCCAGCATCATATTTTTTTTCTGTCTATGTGTGGTGTTAGTAGCATTGATGTATAGAACCACTTTTTCTGACCTTCCCAAAAGTTGAACCTATATATAGTGTAGTGGCATAAATGTTAAGTGCATTTCAGCAAAGTATGCAAAAGATCTTTTGTTGAGGCTTAGTCAGTCATAAAAGTCTTTGTTTGTATGACGTAATCTTTCAAATGGGATACTGAGTAATTCTCTGACTGGTACTAAAGTGCATTTTAGAAATTCCTTGTGACCATGTGTCACTTTGCAGTTCTCCTATAGGTATTCCAATGTTCATATGGAACTAGGTAATTCACTATTATGATAAAGAGCTATTAAAATGACTTTGCCTACACCTTTTAAAAGTTTTCATGCTGAAAAAGAAATAATGTGATGTTGGAGAAAAGAGAAGCCGGTGGAGAAGTAGTAGTGATATACAGAGTAATATGTACATTTTTAGGATAAAAGAAGCATATTTCCTATGAATGAACAACATCAAATATATACTACCCTTTACAAATTTGTTTTCACTGAACTGTATGATTGCTATCTGCAGCTGTTCTAGTTAAACTAAAAAGTAAAATCTTTTTCAACTAGTGGCTTTTATATAAAATGTGCTCCTGAAGCTACACCATTTTGAAAGAGTAACATTTCTTACTACAAAAACTTTCTAAGGAATTTATTTTAAAAATACAATCTGTGAAGATTTTAGTTGTGTGAGCACTATTGCTCACATCATCTTTTCATTTTATGCTATTGATTGATATGTGGGTAAAATGCAAGATTCTTGGGTCAAAGTTTACCAAGTTTAAATTTCACTCATTTATACTGTGTGTATAACGAAAACATAACGTCTGATGTTTTCATCATGAATTTGTTTGTGGTACATCAATTCCCATATTGTCTGATATTTTTTCCCCTTGCTGTTTTCCCTTGTGTTAACCTGCAAAGAACGTAGGAAAAACTGTAAATCATATTCCTCATTCACTCTATTTTATAAAGCTTTCATATGTCACTAAATTTTTCACAGATTATTTCTTACACATTTTTGGAAGTGCTGTTAGCCTTTATAGGTTAAGAATTTAGCTTTTTTTTTTTTTTTTTTTTTGGCAAAAGATCATGTCTTAGTATTTATTTGTAAAAAACAACAACAAAGTTCACAGCCAAACGGTTAAGAGGATGAAAACGACAACATTATCAATTCCAATAAGGCTTTAAACGATAAAATTCATTGGTATATTTGCCTAAAAGAAAAACGGTATTGTTGACGGATATTGTTTTAAAATTTGATACTGATTCTCCCTGTGGAATGCCTGGGAATCATCTGGAGCACTACTTAAAACATGTATTGTTGGGTTCTACCCCAGAGGCTCTGATTTCGTACCACTGAGGTCAGGCCTGAAAATATACATTGCTAACAAGTTCCTAGGTGATACTGACGCTGCTAGTCCAGGGCCCACACTTTGAGAACCACTGCCTTAGCATATTGAAACAGAAAGTGTCAGCTTCTTTCCCTCTCATATTATCATATCCAGAGAACCTGTTTTTGCAAAGCCCAACTCTCAGCCCACTTATTGACAGCTGTTTTATTGTAGCTGGAGGCTTTACAGTAAGCTGTTTATTACTGTTTCCCAACCCAGTTGACAGCATTTGGGGAATTAATTTTCTTGGCCCCTGTGTGGGTTTTCGGGGGTGGGAAGAGGGAAGATAAATGAAAATGTTAAAGTAAAAGAAATAGTCACCCATTAACATTTGACAACTTCTTCAAGTAGTAAAACAGTCTGTAAGAGTTGCACTAGACTGTGGTTCTGGGTAAACAGTCATTTAATTTTCTAAAGGAAATACTCATTTTAGAGCTTTAAACATCCTGACTTTTCACAATCTAGAGTATTTGTTCATATGTATTTGTCTATATATTGAGGAATATATACACTGAAAATGTGTATGCATGCTGTACTTAAGTGTATACATGTAATTTTTACCGTGTAAAGGGAATTTCTTCTATTCCAAACCAGTTAGAGATACTATATTACATTTGTGATTACTTTTCATTTTTGAATAATCTACTACAACCACTACTGAAATGTTATTATGTTATGTAAAATGCAGAAGGCAGTCATAGAATTGATATTTATAACAGCTAGGAAAAATATGCAATTGAAAGTGAAGGGAGCAAATGTTAACTAATGTGAGGCTAGCAAAAAACTTTAAGATATTTTCAATTATTAAGTTTTGGAATAGATATATATAGTGACAGTTGAACACGGGTGACAATTGATCCCCCAAATGCGAATCATTTTTAAAATGTTATCAGTTGTGATTTTTATTGCTATGGCTCTTTGGCTAAGTGCCCTATGGTCATGAAGTCAGTTTTCATACTTATGAGGTAGAAGATACCTAGAACCCTTGGATATTGACACGGGTTTTTGAAATGAGGATAGGCCATACATTTAAACTGACTATCTTTCCAGTTGGGTTTGTGAGATGAACATTTGACTATTTTTCTTTCCATCTTGATATTCCTAAGCTATAAAATTCAAGATGCACTTTGGCATTCCATTGCTAATAACCTCAAGGAGAATAAAAATGAAAAGTTGCTATTGTATTAAACATAGACATGTCTGCTGATTCCTGAATATTTGATAACATAGAGAAAATAATATATGTGGTGACAATATTCTATTCTCTTATTATTATAAATTTTTTGTTGCCATTAATTCTAGATATCGAAATAAGGAACATTAATGTTCTCCTTAGTTTCAGATCAGTCATCCTTATGGTGAAACAGTTCAGGCTTTGGTATCATTGAAATTACTTTGAAAATATTGTACTTGTAATAACGTGTTACATTCTTATGGTGTGAACATATTCTTATTATTTAAATAATTGCAAGCTATCATTTTTTCTTCTCATGATTTCATATATTAACTTAAAATATGTGAAATTGTAAAACAGAGGGAATTTAGATTTAAGGAAAAGC